GATGGTGTGCACTGGGCAGGGTTCTCATCCCAGGTTTCTTAGAATCATGGAATGCTTTGGGTTGGAAGGGACCTTAAAGCCCATCCAGTTCCACCCCCTGCCCTGGGCAGGGACACCTTCCACTAGACCAGGTTGCTCATATTCCAGACTGATCTCAGCCACGTGCTAGTGATGAAATCAAAGTCAAAATTGAGAATTCCAGTTTTTGGTGAGTGTTTTTGCCCATTCCATGAGCTGAGGTTTGGCTGCCCCTCACCTGTTTCCAGCAGAAATCCCTCCTGAAGATCCAGAAGCTCCAAGAAGCTGCCCTGGGGAGCTGGAGGTGGCTGGGTTTTCAGGGCACGACAAAAACCCTCTTGCAAAGCATTTCCTGAGCTCTGCCAACCAGGAGGATTAGATTTTGTTTTTTTTAAGTAATTACTTGAATAAATATTTCCTTTCCAAACTTGCAGGGCCCAGGGCAAGGATCTGAAACTTTAGTATGGAAATGAATGTAAACTCTTCTGCAGCTTGACAGAAGAGTTGAACCCACAGCAGGATTGAACCTGCAGCAGAATTAAACCAATTTAACCAGCTGGTAATTACCCACAAACACTCTCCCTTCCACTCCTCCCTAATTCCTGGGTTTTCTGGGAGTGCTGGCTCAGCATGACCTGGGGGCAACAGGCTTCAAAATTGTCTTTAAAAAAGCCAACCCTGAGGATTTTCAAATCTTATAAAGTTTTTAGTGACTTGTGTTTGGTGACTGAGGCAGGAGAGGAGAGCACAAGGCCTGTTCCAGAGGTGAGGGAAGTGAGGAATTGGGGTTTTAGGGGTGGGAAGTGTTCAGTGTTGCTCCCGATCTGGGTAAAGGGGTCCAGCTGACACAGCCAGTGAGATCTACTCCTTTGTCATGGAGCTTTGCCCTCTTTCCATGAAATTGCCATGAAGAATACTCAGCTGCCCTTTGTCTTCCTCCCAAGAAAACCTTCAGAGTTGGCCCAGGAGTCCAAAGGTGTTTTGGCTGTGACCCCCCTCACCTATATCCAGCTCCCAGAGCACATGGGGATAGCAGCTCCCTCCTGCTGCTATTCCCAGAGCAACAGGGATCACTCACCAGTACAGACCAGTACAAACCATTTCTAATGTGTTTATGCTGCCAAAGCCACATCCCTCTGCCTTCCCTGCCTTGGGAATCACTGACCCTCCACAGCTCCAAACGGGGCAGCTGTGGAGGAAATAAGAGGGAACAGCCTCAAGCTGTGCCAGGGGAAGTTTAGGTTGGATATTAGGGAAAATTAGGAGAGGGTTGTCCAGCCCTGGCACAGCTGCCCAGGGCAGGGGTGGAGTCCCCATCCTTGGAGGGCTTTAAAAGCCATGTAGATGTGGCACTTGGGGAATGGGACAGTGGTGGCCTTGGCAGTGCTGGGGGACAGTTGGCCTCGATGATCTTAAAGATCTTTTCCAACCTGAACTATTGCATGATTCCAGTTCCCTTCTCCACCCCACGAGTGCTCTGGGCTTCCTTCTTCCAGCCCACCAAGCCCCAGTGAGTCTGGGGGGGTCTGGGCTGCCCAAAAGTGCTCGCTGGTGACAAAAGGCAGGCGTTGTCCCCAGCCAACCCTGCTCTGGGGTGACACACCTTGAGCAATCGGCCTTCCCTTCCTGTTTAGTTCTCCTGGAGCACCAGGCTTGTCCAGTCAGCAGGATGATGACCAGGGC